GGGGAGGAAGTCGCCCCCTCCCAGCAGGGGCACAGCCGGCTGTTACCGCGAGAGCCCGGGGGGGGCGTAAGCCCTTCTCCGGTGTGTATCATCATTATTTTACTGTTGTTCTCAGCGTGCTGTAATTAACACTCTTTTATTATACACAGCATAAAAAACAATGGCATTGGCGTACGCCGTCACTGACAGGCCGTTGTTACTGCGCCCCTGTTTGGAATCACAGAGCCATAGAAGAGCCCAGGCTGGAAGGGACCTCGAAGGACCATCTGGTCTGACCGCCCGTGGGAAAAGGAGCTGAGGTGAGACGACCTCGCGCCCTGTCCAGCTGCATCTTGAAAACCTCCAGCAGTGGCGAATCCACCACATCCCTTTGGAGGTTGTTTCAGTGGTGGTCTCACTATAAAAAAAAAATAAAAAAATCTTTATATCGAGATGAAAACTCTCCCAGTGCTCCTGGCACAACAGGTGCAATGTCTTCTTGTGGAGAAAGAGCCTCTATCCTCTTTGTAGCCACATTTTACATACTGGAATATTGTGATAAGGTGCCCCCTGAGCCTCTTCTCCAGGGAGAAAAGACGTAACTCCTTCAGTTCATCCTCATGTGGCAGGTTCTGCAGCCCTTTGTTCATCTTTGTGGTCTTCATTCGGACTCTTTCCAGTCTGTCCATGTGTTGAATTGTGGGGAGAAGAACTGGACACAGTACTCCAGGTGTGGCCTGACAAGCACTGAGCAGAGTGGGATGATGACATCTCTGTCCCTGCTAGTAACGTTCCTGCAGATGCAGACCAGAATCCAATTTGCATTTGTTGCTGCAGCGGCGCATTGCTGACTCCTGTTCAGCTTGTCCACCAGCTCCCCCAGGTCCCTTTCAGCAAGGTTGCTCCACTGTCACACAGATCCTACCCTGCACAGGTCTCTTTGATTATGTTGTCCCAGGTCTAGGATTGTCTTTTTGATGAATTTTGCTTTATTTATATGTTTTACTTGGCATCACTGGTATCTTTGTTGTTATCCAATAAAATAGGAAGTGAATTACAGTTTTCTATCTGTATGCAATTGGCTTTCCTGGAAATACCAGACTTTAAAAATAACTGCTACTCTACATGATTATGCTTAACAAATATCAAATGTCTTTCCATGAGCCAGGATGTTCAGCAGAACACACGGCAATCTGATTTTAGACCGATCCTCTTTAACATGCTTACCAGTTTCTTAAGGACAGCATCATTAATCCCCACTTTAGCAGATACATTCTTTGGTTCTTGAGGAGAGGTCATAGGAATTATCAAAAGCCTGTTGTTCCAGTTAGGGGTTTCTGGATTCTTTTAAAGAACACTGTAAAGCGTTGGTTGTTCTCTTTCTTTGCCCTCCAACAGGTATAATAATAGCAAATTTGGGTTTTGTAATAAAAACCCCAAACCCAAAATACACAAAATATACAATCATGACAAATGCTTTAGGTATTCACAGCATTACAAGGAAATATAAGATATTAGTCTCAAAATCACATAATTGTTGCTTTGTCCTTTTATTAATAATATAAGGTTCTTAGAAGAATAATTCAGACACAAAAAACCACTATAGCTATTGATAACTTTTGTCTTGTGAAATTAAAGGTGAAAGCCAGAATTTAATTAATTACTTTTTTTTTTCTAGACACTAGCTCCAGCTCTGTGAGATTTCATTTGTTAACATTTAATTACTTGTATTAAATTCAGAGTTACTTTTGCCTTTTTTTTGTCCTACAGGACAAGTGCCAGGCTTTTAACAGTTCACTTAGATTTATGTGTAGTGGTTACTATACATAAATATTTAAAATCTCTGGGAAATAAAGTTGGTATATTTACTGTCATTGCTAACTGAGGCCAACTCACATACATATTTATTGAGTTTGTTTACATATTCACCCATATATTGCAGTGACACCTCTGATAATACTTTTTTTGTAGTTGACAGAGCACCTAGCAAAGACAAAGTCAGTGACATAGCAAGGACCATAAATATGACTTTGAAATGTCCACACGGTAGCAAACCTTACAATGCCCCTTACAATAACTTAGAATAGGTATCTTGTGGTGTTCTTTGAATGATGGCCCATCAAACTACTTAAGCCTTGCACATCTGCATTTGAAGACAAATCCTTCGTTATCTTTTGCATTATCCATATGAAGCCGGGCTGAATTTCTCATTCTGCAAGTATGAAACAAAGCACTCACTGAAACCAAATCAGAACTTCTTAGGTCACGTTTTATTTGTTCTTTTTCCACGTTTTCTACTGCTTTATTTAATGGGAAAAACAAATAATATTTTTGTTAATTCTGTGACTTTCATGTTTCTGAAGTCGCTTGAGCTCTAGTTATGTTTTTTTTTTCTCCCAAGTCCATTCCAGTTTTTACAGTTAAGGAATCCACATGACTATGTGAAAAGTCAAACTCCATCTGCACACCCTATACAAAGTGCACAGCTGCTTATTTGCTTTGCTCTGTGGGCATGTGCGGCCTCAGAATGATTGAACAGTGCCAACTACAGAATTTGCAGGTTGTTTCCAGCATACAAAGAAAATTATCCTTGAGGAAGAAGTTACTGCATTCTTCGACCCTGACACAGGGGGGCGTTATCCTGGACTTAGCATCCATAAACGGAACCCCGTGCACCTTTCTTTATCTAGGTGGTGGCGAAGATCAGGGATGAGATGACCGCCTGATGGGAAAGTCTGTACATCCTTGGGTTCTTGGGTCTTCTGTTGAATGGAAGGAGTTCACAAATAGGCCCTAGAAAGTATCTGTGGTAAATATAAGCCAAAATTACTCTTTGAGAACATTTTAGTATCCTAGATACACTCACAACCGCCCCTTCTTTTCTTCTCCTGCAACACAGTTTCTCCTCACGGGGTAGGGAGTCCTTTTGTAAAAATCAAGAGCAGAGCACCTTGATTGCTAGATGAAGAAATCCTACATAGCAATGTTTCTAAGTGCAAAGTAATCAGGAAGGAAAAGCCACTCTTTCCTCTTAGTGGTTGTCATATTAAGGTGATAGCTGATACAGTTTTTTCATAAATGGTTCCCTTCCTCTGTTCAGGGCAGATACTTCGGGACTAAGTATCAAGCACCATTTTCACATAGTGGTGGTCTAATTATCATGAACGTGACAGCAGAAATTCATCTGCCTGCAAACATGGGACTGTCATTTGAAGAATCAGTCCAAAGTCTTAATAAACATAGTCTGGGGATATCCTGATATTAATTTGCATTAGGCCGTAAAATGAAATGTTGGATACTCTGCTTAAACCAAGGGATAAGCTATAAGCTGGGCTCTTTATCACACGCCCATCTAATGTGCTGGGGTGGGGTGGTTGATCTATGCATTTTCCTCCATTCAGTGTGCACCAAATGGGGGAGAACATGAGGTCACGATTCAGGTCAACCCTGCCAGACAGGAATATTTCTGTTTTCCAGTTCTGACGTTAATGAAGAGCCTCTGGACTTTCCCTTTTCTGCCAGAGCTACACTTGCAGGACACTTGAGAGGGAACACACAGCATGGGTCTTGCTTTCCTTGCCCCTCATATTTTCTTTCTTGATGAGAAGCTGATCCATCGTTATTATGAACATTATTTCTACAAGATACTGGTAGAATTTTTTTCTGGTTGAGAAAATTGGTCTTAAAACAGGAATAAAAGTGTTAGCTTCACACACAGCTCGTTCCCACTGTATAAATCTCTTTAAAGAATATAATGAGGTCAGTATTACACAACTGACTGAATTTTAAATGCCTGGAAAAATCAATTGGAAATGTTCATCTCCTGACCTTTCTTCTGTTAGTGCTTCATAGTTCTGACTTAAAGGTCCTTGGGGTTTTGGTTCATTGCATGTAAATTATTAATCTGTTATGTATATGAGAAGCAAAGAAAATAGTATCTGATGTCTTTCCTCTGCAGCTCTAGACTATATTCTAGAGCCAGCAAACCTTCATACAGAGCCTGCATCTGAATATCTTGTTAGTTTTACATCTGTTTGTTTTGGTTTGTGGGTTTTTGGTTTTTTTTTGGGTTTTTTTTTTTCAGTTAATACTACTATTTAGGGTATTCGGTGACCTACCACTGAAATTCTTAAAGATAGCTTTTCCAAATGAGGGAGCTCCAGAGAAGAGGGTTGCTGGAGGAACAAAACTATTATGGGACATTTGTTTTTTTTTTTAACTGACTTGGAATTTTTGCTACAGCATGAGAAGCTCTTCCCTCAAAACTAAAATAATGTGTAGGCTTTACACACTTGCCACAAATACTCAGTAAGCACCTGGAGAACAACCTGATTTTACAAGTCTGGGGGCTTGAGGAATGGCTGAGAAACTTGGGGTAAAGGAAACATGCTGTATGTGTGTATACATAGGAATTTATTGCCATACTATTGTAAGTTTCTGTCAGTAAGCTTTTCTTCTCCTAGTGCCGTAGGAGCAGTAGCCACCTTGGCTTTTAGCTGGGCCAGGACAGGCGCAGGAGAAGGCGTGCGGCCATTGGGGCAGGGCCTGCTGCCCGAACAGCTCTTCTGCTCTGGAAGAAGAGATGGCAGGGCGGAATTTGTTGCTTCTGGGGTTGTTTGCTTGCTTGGCGCATCATTTTGGAATGATTTGGGGGATCCCAGACAGAAAAAAAAAATAAATAAAAGGGTTGCTTTTTGTAGCTGGAAATTAGTATTGCTTATAAAAGAGCGGTATAAAAAGGATGCATGTCTCCTTGACTAAGCAAGGTGAATTTATTATGAAAGAGCTAGAGTAGTGGAGTTTATCTGAAAAAATTTAAAGCAACTTAAAATAGTGCTTCTGTGAATGAGCTCTGCTGGCTCCTATGCTGTGGAGGAGCGTTGAGGTGCAGGTATTCACACCAAGTATTAACACACACAGGTAATACACGTTTTATCAAGAGGATTTTTTACTACAGACTAGGTCTAATTTTTTTTTTGTTCGCGTTTTTGTTACATGTAAGACCTCTTAAGTGGCACTTTATAACAGATTTTCAACAGAAATAACAACCGGTATCGGTCACGTAGGGTCTGAGAGGGAGGCGGAGGCCGGGCCCACGGGGGACACGCTCCACAGGCGGCAGGAGGGATGGAGCCGCAGGCGGGGACACAGACGCTGTGAAGAGTTTTGGAGATCGGGAGGCTGAAGAGGGCGGAAAGAAGCATCAGGCGGCGGAGAGCGGAGAAAAGGCGGGCGGCCCGGGAGGCTGCGGGTGCTGAGGCGGGGGACGGCGGCGCTGACTAGGCGGACCCCGGTGGGCAGCTACGGAGACCCCTTCCAGGAGGTCTGCGGACCGAGGGGAGGAGAGCCCCCCTC